TCGATGAGATTTCCGCTTAAATCTTTTTCTAAGTGTTTTTGTGAGTTTAGTGAAGGAGAATAACGATGTAAACAGATTACAAGTAAAATATTTAATGTAATTTCCACCTGTATGATTATTATGATGTATTTTAAATATTTCTCTCATTAGAACATAGTTTATTCTGTATTCTATTATAACTAATATACACAACTTGGCGTTTATTTAAATATACAATAACAGTTTTTCAAAACATGTTTCAAAATTTCAATAGCTGAATATTAATTTCAGGGATTTAATTGGAAACAGGCGTGTATCATAGTTTATTATATAAAATATATAAAGGACCAGACGCAAGCTGTTAGTTAATATCATTTTTCATATAATATTTTAATAGCGTAATTCTTTACCTATATATATGATTAAGCCTCTTTGCAGAGATTTCAACAAAGCATCTGCATTATAATTAATAAACTCTCTTGACATTCGCCAATATAAAAAGTTTGACCCCACAGTTTTTGATTTGCTAATTTAGCTAGTGTATTTTAAATCATACTTGAACCCCGAATACTGAATATGCATCAGGATTGACCTTTAAGAATGCAGAGTTAATGCTAAAGAAAATAAATGCATGATATTCCATCTATCTGGTGTCTGCTATAGCCCTGGGAACCTAGTCTGGTAACTCATTCAGTTAACTCTTTCAAATCCATTGATTCACTTTTAAGTCCAATTTAAACCCAGTTTTCAAGTTGGAGATGACTTGACTCTTCAACTGAGTGAACCTGAGTCAAGATCTAAAGTAAAAGTTAGAATTAGTTTGGTTTTGGTTTCACCTCACTTCTAACAGAATTCCTGATATTCGATAGCACGTGATAATCTTTTAAAATATACCCCAGTCTTACACGTCATGCTTAATTTCGTGCGTGAAAAAACGTTTGAATGATCATAGGCGGTGGAGAGAGATATCAGTTGAAATCTGGATTATTATCACGTTAAACCTTTCTCTTCACAAATTACTGGCCATCTTGGAAGTAAATATTAAAATATTTAAGTGAAGTTTCAGAAAATAAATTGATTTATCAATGTACTGATTTAAAAGAATTAAATTCAGGAAAAGATAATTACTATTTCTGATCGAAATTCGGTGAATAAAAAAATATTTTGTAAATTTTTAAAGAAAGTTCACTTTATATCTAACTAATGAGTATAATTTGTTTCACGATATTAAACAAATGTTCATTTGAAAATGTTTAATAGATTTTGTTTTTTTTTAAATAATATGCAACATTTTGAATATTTGAAAATGAAAAAAATTAGTACCAGGCTAATAATTGAAAGTAAACGCAGCTTTTTAATTACCTTTGCAAATTATAGCCAGAATTTCATAAAATGTGAAATGTTTACAATATTAAAACTCTTTGTATAAAAATGTATATGGTTAATGAAACGAAACCAAAATTGAAGATTTTAATAAGTTTTGCTAATCTGTTTTGAGAAAAATGAAGTATTTTGTAATTTGGTTGAAGTCTGTTAACACTAAGACGAGTGTGGGAAAATAAGGGAACGTCGATTAAGATGAAAAATTTGTAATGATAACTGTTATAGTTTCGTTTCGTTTAACGAAGTTATCTAAAATGTAAATATGTTGTGAATTAACGTACAAGTGAAATTGAACGAGGTTATAAATTAAAAACAGGGCTGTAGAGTACTGGTAGTAGACGGCCTTCTCAATTACCAGCTCTATAACTTGATTAAATCTTACATTCCTGATAAGATATTCAGATAAAACATGTATTAGCACAGATAACCATACAATTTTACATAGATTTGTTGTGAATAAGAGAAGATAAGCGACTATTAGTAGCGACCATTAGAGACCGTCAACCATTACTAAACTCGAGTGTCACAAATTACTAACTATCATTAAAACGAGGTAATCATCAACTAAAGCGGAACGAAAGATAACAGAGATTTCAACTATAGTGCACACAGTGTTGGGAGTTAGGGTGGTTGAAATGTAACAATATATTATTTGAAAACTAATTTTGTGGGTGAATTTTGGAAAGAAATCTTAAGAAAATATTGTATTTGTAAAAAACAGGAATATGTGCATTCTTGAGAAGAAGAGATGAGCAACCTGGTCAAATTGAATTATTCAACAAAAATCACTCATTGAACAAGAAAAAATCCCGTCATATTTTTTTTTTGTTTGAAATTTTCACACTTTGTTTTCTGTAATTAAAGTTTAGAAAAATATTTTTTGATAAGTGAAACAAAGCCGCGTATTGTAGGGTAAATAGACCCTGTGTAATCCGACAATAGCTGGAGAAAAAAAATATGGCAACATTTTGCAGTATTTTATTAATTATTTATTCACATATCATATTGAAGCGCTATTTTATTTCACGCTTGAGCAGTTAGTATTATGTTAAGATTGAACGGCAAACAAATGAAAAACGAAACTATATAAAGCGGTTATTGATAAATTTCAGATTATAAAATGAAACGAAACGATGATCGTCGCATTAAGTTGTCAATCGTCGAGGAGATCTAAGTGTTTTTACTTGATTTGCTTTTTAATGTTGATGAAATTGCAGCTGATAAATGTGTTTCTCTATCTATTTTGGAATGAATAATACAGCCCTTCTTTAAAATATCTAAAATTCTTAATTTTATATAAACGAGAAACGAAATTTTATACAAAAATTTACTTTTAATTCTCAATTATAATAATTTTGACAGTTAAATATGTACTGTTTGGCACATAATTTTTTTCTCAAGCAAAACAAGTTCTTACAAATAAATAAAATTATTTTTTTCCAAATGAAAATACATATACATTTTAGATAATTATAATATATAAATAATCATAAGATATTTTCTGTCATGTAAATTCATAGTGTAACGTCAGTTTAAATGACGGTAGCATGTTTCAACTATCAGTCTGTTGTGTTGAAATGTCTGACATACAAAATTTCACACCTCAACATGTTATACAAGCATCAACGGTGATGTTAACATGGGTTCTAACAAGGTTAACACCGCCCCTTCACCGTTTATAATACAATTTTATATGGCTGATACATTGCTGTTTCTTTTAAAGCTGCTTCTCGATCTTCTACGAAGAAAATGAAATTTTATACATTATTAAATCTAAATTGGGCAAAAATAAATCTGTTTTTGTTTTGAAAAAGCAATTTTTTTTTCAAAGACATTGTCATATTTAATCCTTGTCTTGTACATAAGAATATTATTTCTTTGCATCATATCTTATTTATAATTCAATATTTTAAAATCTGTCCTTTTTTAAGTATATTGACTGAAATAGTCTTGGATTAAGTGAGAAAAACTAGGTTTTAAATCAATTTTATCTCTATATAGTATCTAGCATTGCAATGCTTGTAGCCTATATAATGATTTACTTTGCTACTGAACTATTGTGATTTACCATCCTAGATACAAGTTGTATTATTGATATTAAGTTGTATTTGTTAAGTGATAAACCAACTGACGGAAGCCAAATGAACAATTATTATAAATGGTTATAGTAACACTCCAGAGAGAATCATCAATTGATCAGTAAATTGTTGATATCTTCTCCAGCTCATATTGTCTCATTATCCGCCATATTGGAATAAATATTATTATTTAGTTAATACCTCAATCATATTATTATAGACTAGATTAACTAGACCGTTTACTCTCTCATTATTGATCTGTGTCATTTGATAATCCAGACACAATATCTTCTGCTTAATACTCGTATTCGATTCCAATTCTCGCGCGATACAGCGAATCTTCAGCTCGAGAATGCTTCAGACGATCATTTTCCCGCCTCAAATATCCGATTGTTAGCTGAGATAATATGATCTGCAACACGGCCTCTTGCCTCCAGCCAATCGATTAACCGCCATTGTTGGTTAAAGGGCGGAAAGACCAATAATCCTATTAACGGAGGATAATCTGTTCCATCAATTTGATTGGTTAAAAATAAACAAGATATTAAATGTATCAAGTAATTTGATGATATTTATTTTAATAATCATTGATGAATGATAACTTGTGGGTTATTTCCCTTGTAAACATTAAAATAATTGAAATTTCGCTTGTCGTCCTCCCAGGCTTAATACCGTCCATTAAAATAATTGTAGTTTTCACATTGTCTCTTTGTGTGCCGGATGTTTTCTTTTTAACATAGATATAATTCAGACAGCGTTTTTGACACTTTATCATTTTAATATGACAAAATTTTGTGAAGAAATAACGATTTATATTTTGAAATATTAAATATTAAATTCAAAACTTTATGGAATTTTTAGAAAAGCAATATGGAAGAGTTGATCTTTAAAGCTTAAAATATATAACACGCGAATAAGAACACATATAGTGCGATAATACAACTTTGAACAAATGAAATATACATATTTTACGTTTTGAGTGAATTTGCATTTTTATGAAATATACGTATCATCAATGCATTTGTCGCTTAGGCATTAACATTTAAAATACCATAATGTACCCAGTTGAACCGAAATGACCATAATAACGTTATCAAGATAGTCTATAAGTTTATCTATATTTATATAGTATTTATTTAAAATAACGGAAATAAACCTAAAGGTCAAAACACAAGACTCGTGTATTTAATTACTTAATATCTATATTTATTTCTAACTTTTGAGTTAGTCACTTGATGACTACCAATAGTGTGTGGATTTGAATGAGCAGTGACCATTACTCTTGACTGTTTACTGTGTTTTCTTAGTCGAGTTCACCAATTCTAGTAGCCTCCTCGGTGAATTCCTTACAATCTGTACACTTTTTTTAGTCCCAATTGGTTTTCTTCTTATATCAGTTTTAAAAAAAACTTAGGAGTACTACGACATTCTGTATATATTCCGAACGTCAATCCTGGCGCACGACCGCAAAAACCACATCAAACGCTCTGTGTAAATCACTAAAATGCATAACGTGTTGTTAAATAAAGTATTTAATATGATGTATTTTTGTATTTTCAGGAGAGAAACCATTTAAATGTGAATTTGAGGGATGTGACAGAAGGTTTGCCAACAGTTCAGACAGAAAGAAACACTCTCATGTTCATACTAGTGACAAACCGTACAACTGTAAAGTGAAAGGCTGCGACAAGAGTTATACACACCCCAGTTCTTTGAGAAAACATATGAAAGTTCACGGTAAAACTTCACCAATCCGATCAGAGGAAGATGAGAATAATTGTAGTCCCGACACGGAATCACCTGCTACCAGTCCAACTACTACAAATTCAAGTGCCTCCACTACGTCATCAACACACTCCTCCCATTTACAGCCACATTCTCTCTCCACACAAAATAGTCCCACATTACCTCTCGTGCCAAATCCTTTATCTCACCACCCTACGAACTTAAGTGAATGGTACGTGTGTCAAAGTTCAGGCGGGGGCATGCCCCCAGCCCCTTCGTTTGACCATTCCTCAGTGAACGCATTCAGTCATATCGCCTCCCTCCACCCTCCAGCCTTACTACAATACACGTAGTAAGAATCGAACGCATCGTATAATGCCAAAAATAAAACCAAACACTTGAAATGCTTTATCAAAGACTGTGAACCAAAATATCAATAAGCAATGTCTTGGTGGCTGTATTCGTTGTGTTGTTCAGGTTTAGATATGTAGTGACGTTTCCTGCGTTCGAATTGAGGACAAGATGAATAAGAAGGTTCAGTGTGAGACATAGACGTTGTGAGATGAGGATGCTCGATATGCTCCAAAAAAACCTTCGTTCCAGAGATTTTTAAGCATAATCATAGACTGTTTATCAGGACAACTGTGTTCAAGGACTATTTTGAGTGTTGCGCTGTGAAATAAGTTGTGCTATATATTAACTATTCAATGAATTGTCCGTGAGTAGACATAATACTATTATTTTTGGTGCAATCAAAAACATTTATCTCAAAATATATCATTTTCATTATCATTCATAATTTAAATTTTGATTATCCAGATCATCAATACTACGCAATTATATCAAGATGTCTGGATAATCGAAATTAGGCTTTACGTTACATGGCACAATGTTATCATGTTTTAAATTGAAATGGTGTCTTACGTCTTAATGATGATATACTTTCAGCTTTCTGCGAAAAATCAAAAGATGACTATTCCTAAATGAATAATTTCTGTTTTCGTTTCGCATTTTACTAAACAATTTTCAGATGCCAAAAACTTGAGAAATGATAAATTTTAGATTATATATTATATCTGTATTCAAATAGTTTACGATTAGTGTTGGTTCTTTCTTACAAATGAAAAATATTATGGAAATTGAAAAAAATAAAATAAAAACAGAAATAAAATTTATTACGGAATAGTCCATAACTTTCACAGCATTCGTTATATATTCGTCCAAATTGTATTTATGTTATTTTCTTTACATGTTATTTATTAAAGTTTATTTTTCTTTTTCATTATTTTCGAATTTGATATCGAAATTTGAGAGAAACCATGACATTGTTAAGATTTTAATTCTTATTCAACAAGATTTGCCCTAATTTAGCTAATTATTTATTCTGTTCAGACTTGTATATTCTTAAGTTTGTTATGAAATTTGGCAATTTCTTTTAGTTTTTTCAGACATTTCAAAGTATTCTGACACTTGCTTTTTACCATAACGAGATTATAAATTCCAAATATAATGAATTATATTTACGAGTTTATGTATGCTTTAAATTTAAATATTATTATGACAAATTATTCTTCAAACTGAATGTAGGCTATATCATTTTGATTTCTAAAGTATCTAAAGGGGTAGAATTCATTCTGCGTAGTTTCATCATTATCATCATGACGTCGTCATAATTTGTAAATACACAAAGTTATATATATTATAATATAAATGTAAATAATAAAGAAAATTTCAAATCACATATTTCATTGTCTTATACAGTATTTTATTCGGCGAATTGCAGTAATAGCTATTCATCGTTGCATGCATGTTACATCCAGAATTATTTCGGCAGGGTTGGCGTGTTAGCACCGCACTTGTCTAGATTTAAGATTGCCCTTTGAAAGTATGAAAGTGAATACTATCTGCATTAGGTCGACCCCTTGTTTACATCAAGAACGTGGCCATATTAGTGAGAGAATTTAAGCTGTTGACAGTTCTCACATAAGGAAGAAAACACTAGATATTTTCCTATGACGGGATAGAGGATAGAGCTTAATGAAACCAAATTACCACTATCCAGAAAACAATTCATATATATGACCAGAAATGAAATGAATCGAGTTTTACGTCCTACTTTTCTGTACCTTGTGGGCTAATGAAGACAGAATATTACCAGAACTATAGCCCATAAGTTGAATAGCCTATAGTAGAGTGCATTATTCTCACGTGCTTGGAAGAGTTAGTGCTTCTTGTACCAACCTTATGACAATGTCTCTGTATAAAACCTAAGAAAGAAGATTTTTCTGTTGTTTTTAAGTCATTTATTTATGGAATTTAATTCTTTACATGGAAATACGATGCCGTTTGACTTGTTAGGATTATATAGTAGGCAGATTACAGTTACAAAATACATTATAATACAAGCAATGTAGGACTAAAACCTAAATCTCCAGTCGCCTTGTAAACATCAGCACTCAAGTAGAAAATGTGTAAATTTGTAATTTGAATTTGAAAGGGCTGAATTAACAGTTGATTATTGTTTGTGATAAGGCGATTACCTTACTTGTTGTGTGGCCACGAAAACTGTTTTTAACTGTTATACAGCCTATTCGTAGAAAATATTCTTGTATAGGACCGCAATTATTATGTCAACCTAGAAAATCAGCATCAGATAAATTTGAAAGTTATCAATGTTTTGAAAAGCCTGACATTGATCCATAAGTAGTGCGCAATGTATCTGGAAAGTGATACATCGCGACATAATATGCCATAAAATACGGAGCGTATCGCGTAGTCAATACTTGACGATGATGGGTATTCAACAAACATGTATTCATATAAAAATCAACCCCATCCTTATACAAACAAAGTCGAAAAAACACGAACAATGCAACAGCATTATCATACACATGTTAACTTGTTATGTTTAAAAACAAACTACACAAATGCAACACCATTAATTCATAAGAAAAAACCATTACATTAAGGTTTGCTCTCAATGCAATTTCGCCTACAGGAACGCAACAAGCAAAATTTAAGGGACAGCAATTTTTCTGAAAAAAAAACATCCTTGAGGTGAGAATAGGTGAATTGCTATGAGATATATACATCAGGGACATCCCACAGAAGTCACCAGTGACATGCTAATCTGCTATCAGTATAACAAGCAAAGTTGATGAACTGTTCGCCTGACCGACTATCTTCTACACCTGAATTCATTTATTAATCATTTCATAATATTATAATAGTCCAACTGATACTGAGAATAGATGGTCGTTAACACTGACAGGATTACAATCATGATCTTAACATCTTAGATTAGGATTGTGTCGTTCGTTTTAAACCGATTATCACAACTTGTTATGATTTCTAATAAATGAATTATAGAGACCAGGATCAACCGATTATTGAAATCTGATTCTTACAGAAATTGGTATGAATAGTATGCGGGCAGTGATATAAGGAGCATTGCAAAAATGTTTTAACAGGATACTAATGTAGCGTTTGCCTGGATACTTCATTTAATATTTATTTATTCAGTTATTAATACGTTCGTTCGTAAAAATTAACAATGAACCAAAATCACTAAGGACAGTCTGAACTGTGCCTGATCATTAAATATCAGTAATGTAGTCACAGGTCGCTAGACGATGTATATTAAGATAACTTATGACACCTTTCTCTAAATACAAACCGTCAATCCTCTTTACTCAAGTAGCACTTCATTACCTACAGTTAATACAAATTATACCACTTTAATCCAGCTGAAATCTATTTTAATACCAGGATTACCTCCCTTTATAAGCCTATAATCGGTGATTAACAGTAGCCTAGAAAGAGTTAGACAACATTGACACCTCGCTGATATATAGATTACGACTGAGATATTAACGGTCACTTTTCAACATCTCGGTTTATTTTCCGTGTACCTTCAAGATACCTCTGAGTTTTTTTTGACTCTGGTACAATAAATAATTCGTAGTTGCATCTTTAAACTTTAACAACTTTCCATGCTGATGCCTTGAATTTTCTTAAAAAATTATAGATTATATTTTGTATCATTGCTTAACAAAGACGAGGGTACCATCTTCAAACGTCGCTAGTTATTTACATGTTTTAAAATTCATGTCGTTAAATTGTGTTCAGTTAAAAATTTATAGAGCCAGAAATATATGGAGATTTCGAGTTGTATCCACTAGTAGTATAGAAATCTTTTTACAAAAAGGTTGATAATCCCTGAATTCGGTTATCAGTAATATCAATAGTATAGTAATCTAAATCATATTCATAATTAGCACATTTAGCTAGAATAATGTCCATAAAACCCAGTGTAATAACTCCGTTAGCTGGTATTCCACTTCAACATAGACAAATAGCAAAAGAACAACTGGAATACAGCGTGATCCAGATTGAGATTGGCAGAACCATACCGATACCCAAGACACCTACCCACCAATTCTACTTTCAGTTATAATAGTTCAATAACCCCCAGTTGATGACGTATTTTAAAAACCAACATGACGTTTATTTTCCCATCAAATTATAACAGGTGCAACACAAAAAGTGATGACGTTATATCACGTATTACACAAGAAACGGAGACAGATATGCTAATCAAGTAGTACTTGGCTAATTTTCAAATCTAGGTAATTTGGTAAAGAAAATGGGTGTCATAAAGTTAATATCATAATCTTGTAATGTTTGAATCGACGCCAGTGAAGCGAGTCGCCAGATCTCACGGTTAAAACATCATCATGCTTGACACTTGGAATCAACTCAAATAACTGCTCCCCGTGAGCTCTTTGTACCTCCTGAATTGAAGAGTTAGGGAGCAGTAGTGTATGAATGGGTTTGCAGTAATTAGAATGCTGAGTTGTGATTTGTCCCGGGGGTCAGGGGATGAGTTATGTAACCTGAATATCCAGCGTGAATAGCGAGTGATATATAAGGTAGCCTAATCCGTGTAGTCAGTATCGTAACTGATGAAAACACCTTCTCTAATGAGGTCCAAATATTTAAATTACTATTATTGTTATTTTACACTTGATATTCCTACTGTTAGAAATGAACCAGTGTTGACCTTCCTCACTAATAGATATTATAACTCATTTCATTCTTTCATTTTCTCACCTTTCCTGATATCACAAAAATTATTGAGACATCAAAATCAATTAACAGAAGGAGCAAAAAAGCATATTTCAGAACGGGAGTTAAAAAAAACTCCCATTGTCTGCACCAGAGTAAAAGGTTCCTTATAAGTCATTCTTACATCCATATTAATTATCTAGATAATATTCCAATGTCAATATTGTGTTCAATACATGTATAGCTTTGAATTCGTCTTAAAATTTTCCTTTTTTCCACATTGCTCAAAATGATAAAATATTCGCGATAACAGAGCAACTGAGACATTTGCTATATCTTTACATTTTAACAACTGTAAAGTTATTTTCGTACCAATCCCATTTCCCTATACTGGACCGTTTGAGACCACGATTATAGTTTCAAAACGGAATTATAATCAAATCCTATTTAAAGGAGTTATAGGTCCAATACATTTAAGAAACTTACTTAAATCATCAAATTTCCTTTTCTTACCCATGCAGATAGCATTATGTACATTTAATTCAATTTTTATTTATGGTTGACATTTTTGTAGCCCAATTCAATGAAAAGATAAGAATTAACGAATTATTTTCGCAGATTTAGTAAATTTTCTAAACAATGGTTTTTACAATGGGCACTTAAAAACTCGCTTCTTCTCACGAGAATCTCGGGATATTTAAATCTATTTATTTGGAATATTTATCATACA